ATGTTGATACCAGTACTCAAATTACAATAGATCTCGATAGCTCAAACACTGCGTTTGATGATGATTTAGATTTACAAGAAGAGATCGAATTGGTTGATGAACCAGAAATGTTAGATGCTGAAACGGAAAAAAAAAATAAATCAAATTAAAATTAACACTCCACAAAACTGTGAAGGAATGGTTGATCATGTTATGTCAGCATTACTTAATGCTTTAAATTATTATTGGGATTATCTAACTCATGAATCTCTTTTAGCAACAATCATTGACCTCAGAAATAAAAAAATGGAGTTCGCTATGAATGATCAAAGGCTCAAGGCTAAAAATTATTTGATAGATGAATATGAAATGTTTCGGAAGCTAGAGTCAACATCAATTAGTATGACACAAATGGATAGCGAGTAGGAGAAAGAAAATATATTATTAGCTACCATGTATACACCTATTCAAGATTCCGAAACAAATGAAGAAATCCAACTTTATTTTACACTTCCGAAAATTTCAAATAAACAATGTCCGTTAAAATGGTGGGACAGTCAAAAAATTAGCCTGCCAATACTAAGTGAAATAGCACGCAAATATTTGTATATTCCTGCCACTTCCACACCCAATGCAGAGAATCTTATGACTGCAAAACGTTGTTGCTTAAATGTGGATCTATTTGAACAAATGTTATTTCTGAAAAGAAATGTAAATTATGTTGGGGCAATGTTTCCTGAAGACTAACAAAATACTAACAAAATAATTTCATATATAATACTGTAAAATATGCATAAATATGTATAACTTATGTAATTAAAAGCACTTGAATTAACGATTTATTACAGTAAATAAAGCATTCTATTGCTAATATTTCGGTCAAAAAATATACATTTTTTGGAACATTTATTTAAGGAAAAATTTTCAATAAATTCACTGGATTCAACAGATTTCAACAGATAATTTATGACCGGATATAAAAATCCAGTGGATTGAGCTAAAAAATAGTCAGATATCCACGGATCCAAGCACTAGATATAAGTGATAAAAACTGGTAAATGAAGGTGAGAGGTGATAAACCTTATAAATGACACCGAAATAAAAATAAATACAAATAAATTTTCTATTAAAAATCTATACCAAACTTGCTGCTCTAAGAATTTAATTATTTACAGAATTTGAAGACTCGATATAATAGCAAACTTGTCAATAATAATTAGGCATGTAATCTTGATAAACACGATTAAAATAAAGTTTTGGCCAATAGGTTAGATTCATTTATATTTGGGTGGTTTACATTGTAAACTTGTTCAAAAAAAACTTTTTTGGTGTTCAAAAGACTTAATTTATTTTTATTATCCTTTATCTTTTAATATTGAGTTAGCTATTTTATTATTTTTACATTATTTTGTGCAGATATTAAACAAGCTCTGTATTGGCTATGATAATTATTTTGTTTGTTACTTTTTCAACATCACTTAAGAGCAAAACCTTGTAAAATAGCTTATTTAAAAAAAAATCTGCCGCCAACAAAATCGATATACATTGAGAATTTATTTATATATGTTGTGCCTCAGACTAACGCTTGCCTCAGATTATAGCTGACGCACCTCAAATGATAATCATCAGGTGAGATGCGTAACCTATCAATCTGTCACCTGAGGTGCTTCAATCGTAATCTGATGCAATATTAATTTTAATAATTTTCGCTATCAAATATGGAATTATGCGTATACTGAATAGTAATATAAAAAAAAAGCTCATTAAATAAAATTATTGACAGCATTATTTATTTTATTTTAATTGCGAATTAAAACTATTAAAGCTATTTATTCTATACATTTTTCAATTAATCTTTATTTAAACATGGCTTTCCGCTATGGCACCTACTTGAACACTTCCCATTTACCTTCTTACAATTACATCTCCTGCTATTACATGTACCCTTGCAATTACAGATAGAGTTTGACACTAGTCCAACACTTTGAAGCCTTCCAGCTTCTCAAACAGATATTTGTGCCGATGGTATATTATCAAATTCAAAGTAGGTGGTGGTTCCAAGTGCTTCAAGTCCACCTGATGAATAGCACTCATTAATTATACCATACTTACATCCTAGTTGATATTGTTGATTTTCAGTTTTTTCTATAACTTTGCAAGGAAGATTAGGCCTATCAATGGCAAACCGATCAATCTTTGGAATACTTATACAAACTAAATTACCAATATTGAATTCTATCAATTTTCATTTTTTTAACATTTGTTTAGTCATCTCTTCTATATATAATTGAAGTTCTCTTTGAGCAAACTCTTGTAAGATTTCATGTTGCATATTAGAATGATGGTTTGTAGCATCTGCAAGAATTGAAGCTAAATTTTGGTTCTAATTAATAAAGTTAGTAAAACTTAAATTTGTTATTATTTTAACAATTTATATAGCAAATATCTAAAAGCAACTAACATAATTGTGTTGTTAATACAAGAACTCTACTTGCAAGAATTCTTGTTCTAAATGCTCAGGTTCTGATTTTGGTTCTAAATATTCAGGTTCTAGTTCTAGATCTTGTTTTAATAAAATAAATATGTAAATTATTACAATAAATAAAAAAATAAATAAAAAAATAAATAAAAAAATAAATAAAAATAAATAAAAACTTACTATTCATTTTATCATCTAAATCCACAATGTTATCAGTTTGAATATCGATCGTATCTGGTACATCTTCTTCATCATGAACATTATTAGTATACAGATCACCATAAACAAGTTCATATGGTGTCTTTTTGTGTGCTCAGCACCATAAATTATTCATTGTTGTAATAACTAACTTTAAACCAAATGCCCAGTCACTTCAACTGGTAGTTTCTTTCCACTTCCCTAATTTTTGTTCTAGAATTCTATTTGCTCTTTCGACAAGCCCCTGTGATTGGGATGTTGAGGATGACCATTGATAATTTGTACAGAGGGCCACAAACTAATAAGTTCTTTGATTACTTGAGATACAAACTCCTTGCCATTATTAGATTGCAAAATTGTTGGTGATAATCCAATTAAATGAAAGAGATCAAAAAGAAAAGATGCAACTTCAATTGCCCTTTTTGATATAAGTGCCTGGGCCCAGAAAAACCTAGTAAAATGATCTCTTACATGGCATACATATCTAAATTCTTTATTTGGATCAAATAAGAGATCTATTAAATCCATCTGTAAATAAAAAAAGTTCATTAATTATAATTTTATAATTTAAAAATAAAAAATAATTAAAGTTAAAAAAAAAATACAAAAAAAGAACTAAAAAAAAAAATTTATTAAATTTACCTAAACTCTGAAAAGAAAATTATTCGCAATTATCAGTTTAGCTGCTAAGGGGTAAAAAGAGGGTTTTCTTACAGCACAAATTGCACAATTATTAACGAATTTTTCAACTATATCTTGCTTAATCCATCCCCATTTCTCTCATACAAATTTCCAGATTTGTTTTTGTTTACCATGCTAAGTAATTTCAGCATGGATATGACACAAGATCTTATAAAATTTTTCAACACATAGCACCAGGTTATTTGTAGCTTTAACAACTACCCTATAGTCACCAGGTGCAGTTTTCTCAACTCTAAATCTTTTCTTGGCCCAATCACGAGTACTTTTATCATAAAGAGTATTATCATTAGGGTTTGTTAAGATAGTTTTTATTTTATTTTGAAGTTCAAAGTATATCAATGCTTTTTTTTGCTTAGATTCGGGAAGATTTGTTACATAAGTTTCAATAATTTGATCAAGTATGTTTCTACTAATAAAAGAATATTCCATATTGAAGAAAAATATATTGGTAATATGAAGATGGTAAAGTGTAAAATAAATAAAAAAAATCTAAAAGGGCCTTTATTCATATTCATTATGCTCCGAAATTATTTATATTTTACTTTCGTTGAATTAATTTAATAGACTCTTAAATAACAGATCATATGATTGATTATCTGCGTCAGATTATGATTGAGGCACCTCAGGTAACAGATTGATAGGTTATGCACCTCACCTGATGATTATCATTTGAGGTGCGTCAGCTATAATCTGAGGCAAGCATTAGTCTGAGGTACAGCATATATATATATATATATATTGGTAGTGAATACTGTAGTTCTGTAATTTCGCTTAAGTATAAATGTTTATGTGATTTTAGGAGGTGATTAAATAGAGCATTAATGTATATATATTGTGCATGCCTACATTTCCTTTTATAAAATAAAATAAAATAAAATAAATAAAATAATAAATAAAGCTTCCAGTTCCAAAATATGGTTCCATTAGACAGTTAATTACTATCACTTTGCTTAAAAAGCAGCAAATTTAAGTTTTACAATTACAAACAAATGATTTCACTCTAATAGCTGTTCTTTTTTTACAGATTATTCATTTCTATTGAGGAATAAAATTTTAATATAAAATCTAAGAAAAAAAGGAATGAATGAACTATGTAAATGCGAAAAAAAATGTAGCATATAAAATACTGATTCAGAAAAAAACTACAAGCCAAAATATATAATTAATCTTTTTTTATAATATTTCCAAAATAATCACGGGTCAACTAAGAAAACAATATTATAACAATAACTTTAATATAAAGTCTACAAAAGTAAAAATCATGAATAATCTCAGCAATATCAAGTGAATCATTGCTTCAAGTAATTATTCTTGCTTAATAAATATTAACATTTCTTTAGGGCTAGGGTTGCTGGTGCAAATGGTGCACCATTGCTATACTATTAAGTCATCATATAAATAAAGCCTCCCCACATAAGCTTCAATATGATTAACCAATTAAAAAGAATTTGGTCCAACTAATTTTTTTTGTGTAATGTAAGATATTAATATAGTACATGCTCAACTCACCACCTAAATAATTATATAATAAATATCAGTGCCCTTATTTTATTAAACATTTTGGCTGTTCACTGAATATTAAGTATTTGATTAGAAATATTATAATTTATAGCTCTGATATTTCTGTATTTTGTATCAAAGAATTGTTATCACTTGGACACAATAATTCAGAGGATGATCACAAGAATGGTAAGTTCTGTAACAAAATTTTTATAGTATATCATGATTGAATTACAATAATTTTTTATATACAAATTAACTAAACATGTTTACTCATAGTAGAAGTGACGATTATTCGGAATAGCTGTTTCATTGTTATAATGCATCCTGCCTTTGTCTAAATCTTCTCATGTATGTAGATTTGCTTTTTTAATGAAAATTTTAAAGCCTTACAACAATTTTGCAATAATATTGTTATAAAACATCCCAATTGATTTTCAATTCTCATGAGTTCACTACTTTTCAAGAGAATACTTTTATTTCTCTTCTAAAAAATGAGGATTTACAACTGGAAGAATCAAAAATTTAGGATATAGTTATTTTTGTG